GAGTGCATGCAATATCTTGCAGACACGTAAGAATGAGAAAATTGACAATTTTTCACAAATCGATATGAAAATATCACAAATATCTGCCGGTTACTTACTAAAAAAGTTATGAGGAAAGCTGAAAATACATCATACACTAGCATATCTCAGAATAATGCGATATACAATTTGAAAACAGCAATATATACAAATTATTCTTCATGATTTAGATTAAGAATATTATTTGCAAATTATCAAGAAAAATTAACGCTCTGATTTAGAAGTGATATTGAGAAAACTATTAAAGATGCATTAATACTGATTATTAATAGCAATGTCAAAATGCTCAGTACTTATTAACAAAAACTTGATCACGACACCAATAAACGGCAAATTTGAACCCGACAAGCATAATGGTCCGAAAAAAAAATCATAAAAATCAGTCTTCTGAATTTCAGATCAGCACAAACTTAATAATGACAAAAACTTAAGATTATTGGATGATGAGTGCGAATTTGATCTTGGACATACAACTCTCATGATAATGGCTACAATTACAACGACCATTAAACCAAGACAAAAAATGAAACCCACTATGAAGTATGTGAAACACAACAACGAAATAAAATTCAGATAACCTGAGTAACAAAATGAAGTGCACCACTTACCGGCACTCTGAGTATAAAAACATTATTCACCAGGACTACCTAATACAGTTCTTGCTTCCATAGCAGGAACTCCAAATTTTGAAATATGCGCTGAATTTTTAGCAGGAAATAGTATCTCATTATGAACATACGACTCACACTGATAACACCAAACTGAAAAATCACTCAGACTCAATACCATTGGATGACGAGTACGAATTTGATGATGGACAGCATGACCCTCAATGTAACGGCTACAATTAACCTAGAACAAAATTACAGTTACTCTAAATTAAAAGATGAAGACACTTTTTGAATGCTTACTTAATGATCGTTTCATAGATAGGACTGGGAAATGATATCGGAAAACACTAGTTAACAGGCAAACACGTATGCATAAATATTTTTGGCAAAAAACCTTATTTGAAAAATGCACCCACCTGGTAACAAGTTAAGCAAACCCACTGTTCTAAAGCAGAACCACATTCTGAGCAGTGTGCTTGCGCATTCACACCTTCTGGAGGAACCTCTCTGACCTGAAAATGATAATTTTAATGAGGTATGAGCAGTTATTATGACAATTGCAATAAAATTTCTTAAACATCCATGTCTGTACAACAATTAGCAATGGGCATTACTTGAAGCTGTCCTTTATTACATAACAAAACTAAAAAAGAATAGCTAAATTTAAAATTCTTTTAATGAGGAAATACAATGCAAGAGTCACTTTTCTCGCGCTAATAAAGAATTTTAAATCATATGATACCTCAAAATCTATTTTCATAATTGGACCATTTACTGCCATTTGACAAAAAGTGTACAGTATTATACTTAGTGCAGCTTTAAGAACAAAAACAAAATGATACTACTAAAGATCAAAAGCTTCATTTTTCTTTCTTGATATATTCAATAAGAATAAGTCTAGTTAGTTCTGTAGTAATTAAATTAATCTTTACTTAAGTGTATGCAAGTTATTCAGAAAAGGCAAAAAATTATTTCCTGCTTATTGTCTTAATGGTAATTAGATTTATAGGTCAAAAGTATGAGATTTGCTTCAACACTATCATCTCTGCATTGCTACAATAACTAATGACAGTGAAATACATTGAGTAATTTGAAGTGTCAAAAATATTTCAAAAAATTAGCTTGGAGTTTGAGAGAAAATGTGTACAAGCAGTTTTTGAATCTCGTTGAATGTATTTGCTAGTTGACAAATACATAGACAAATTGCTTATTAAAAGAACAAAAAGCTACAACTATTCCAACAGAGAAAAAATTCAATTTTTGGCTTTTTTGCTTAATTTTAGTTAATCACAAAAGAATGACAAATTTTGATGAACTTTTTCTACAGAACAAAAAAAACAACAAAAATTGACCAGTGAATAACCTCAGATAAATGAGGGCATTCGGGTAACGGTACAACAGTGTGCATTGCCAAATGATTGTCCGGAAATCGAGAAGTTGTAGCAAGCATGTTTGACTCTCTATTGTTAGTCATTTTCATTCGATAATTAGACAAGCAAACTGATTAATTCTAAAATGTTAGAATGTCAAGTTTTGGATCTCAAAAAAGGAAATAAAATAACACTTGACATGAAAACAATGCGCTTTACAACAATCGTCATAGCTTTCTGCACCAGGAATTGGTCAAACATGTGATAAAGTTTAAAAAACTTTGACAAGAGATAGTATGAAAATCTATTTCTCAACTTTAGCTATGTATAAAAAAACACAGTAATGATAAATTCTCAGTTCGTAGTCAAAAAAGTCAAAAACTCAGGTCAGAAAGTTAAGCATAGTCTTAAGAATCAATTACTTAAAAATTCATGTGAGAAATATAGCTAAGTTATCAAGATTCTTAGTTCACCACAATGTTGTCGCAACTGTTTGCATGCTGTCCTCATTATTACTGACAGTCTCCGGCCTCATTATTGTGGAGAAATTAATGTTGCCTGAGCTTATCAGAAATGCTACTATCTTGAACATTTTAATCTTCTGCAGATTAGTAGTTATGCAGTAACTATGTATCTTACTATACGGCTATTAAAACTACGAAATTTAATTACTGTGGAGAGGAAACTTTATATTTAAGTAGCTGAAACTACTAGGAAAAGAAGGGTATATTTATGCCATAAACTTTGTCATATTATTGTCATAAGGGAAAATTCAAGAACGCTCAAAAACTTTTTTGTTGTGTTAAAAGCTTAAAATTTTTATTTGTTTTAAGACTGGCAAGACTACACTTCTCTTTTTTAAAAGTTGTCGTAACTGATCAATTTTTGTCGGTGCTGTGTTTTCGAGAGTATAGGTGATAATCGGAAGGAACTCTGGGGAATCATAGCGACTACAATAATAAAGAAGATTGTCAAAAATCTTAGACGCCACTTTGAATATAAGTAAGTACTCTAACTTTATTTTGGTAATTTTTCTTCTGTCCATGTCTTGTGAAACAGCAATTTTGTTCAAATTTACTAACTCAACCCATGTCATTTAACTTTTGTTGCTTTAGGTATGATTTACACAAGAAGAGGGCAATATAAGATACAAAATCAGGATTTATTTATGTATGCACCAATTACAAAAGCATGGTAATAAATCATTTTTTAATTTGAATTTAACAAATTGCTAGTCTTTTGACTTGAAATTTTATTGTAGAGTATTCATTTTATTACTGTTCAAAATTTATATATTGTTGATAATAATTTTTAGTATATATGAAATTATTATTGACAGTATATAAATCATACCTGAAAAAATTGATTTCTAACTTTTAATTAAACCAGTTGTCATTTTACGAGAATAGTAATTATATCGCTCAATGTGTCTGATTTTAAAAATTGGGAAAGAATCAGAAGACAATTTCAGGTTATTGATCACGTTGTTCTGCTCTATCTTCTATATGTATTCAAATTTCATGGGTTTTGATTACTGGATAGCTGCTTCGCTACAAGATATATTTACCATCAAAGGGGTAATCTTATTTAGTTTCGGTATTTGACGCAAAAAATGAAATAATGATAATTTGTTGTTTTGAGATTTTGTAATCAAATTAATATTAACTGATTTAGTGTCTTTACAGATTTTGTGGAAGGTTTTATCTCAGATTACTTTTCGTAATCCGTCATCGCTTATTAGTGGAATGATTTTGATGTATTATGGTCGACTAATAGAGCGTCGTTTTGGTTCTTGTAAATTCATGGTAATAATATTCCTAATATCTCCTGCTCGAAGTTGGAAGTCTATATTTCGGCCTGTCTGAAGATGATATTATTTAGTCAACTAATTAGAATATATGAACCTTTATATCGAATGAGTGATAAGGGGGAGAAGTAATTTGAAGGTTCTTCCTTTATTGTTAGGAAAGAATATGTTAAATCTAAATTAACCAGCATTCATTGTCAAAAGCACTTGTCATAAATCCAGATTCAAATTGATCATAACTCTGACAATACTTACAGAACTTCATTCTGTACATTTTTCTTCAATCAACCACTGTGGAAATAGTAGTATTCTTCATTCTCTCGTGGATTATTGGTTACTTACCTTCAGCCATGTATTTTGTTGCTGGACCTTATGCTTTGATCACGGCGTTGTATCTAATATATCTAAGGGAAATTCCATTATTGCCCTACGCAAGTATATTTGGCTTGTCTATATCAGTTCACAGCTTCCCTTTCATTATGTTTGTTCAGGTGTTGTTTTCATTTTCTTTTATTTTTTCAAGTACCAAGTATAGATGGATTTGTGGCTGAAAATCATGAGTAATCTTTTCCTTTTAGATTCATTTCATTAGTATAATGTGACAATTTTAAGCACCATTAAGCCTCATGATTTAGGTGTTTCGAATTTAATGGGTTTCATCCGGAAAATTTATCTCATAATACTGTATACAAACAGTCTATCCTTCCCTATCCGGAAATTTATTATTTCTTATGATACATGTATTTATAACACCATGTCTAACACTTTACTTATTAAATTTTTGATTCAACATCATATTTCAGCTTCTGGAGTTTTCTAAGCCGGTGTTAGTAACGTTCACAGCAGGCGTTTTAAGCTTTATGATATATGGGCAGTATTTTGAAAACTTTAATTTCTTGCCAGATAATTTGGTGAATCTGTTTTGTTCCACTGCAAATCCAGTCGGCTGGCTGATCAAAAAATTTGCGGAATTTGGTGAATTTGGAGAAGAGGCTAGCTTTTGCATTTGATTGAAGTTACATGAATTTCACTGATTTAGTGCTATATTAGTGTTTCTCTTTAAATCTTTATTATCATTTTACAGGAAAAAATTTTACCCATTGCGGCTACACTGGAACAACAGAGATCAGAAGTTTTTGATTTATATGAGAGGAGGCTAATTTTCAGACAAATGCAGCGTACTCATAGAAACGAACGGGTATAAAGCAATTTTCTTTTTTGAAAATCAGCTGACAGTTCACTTTTTTAATTTGTTTTTGTAATTCATGTTTAAAGAAATAACATGTTTAGACCTCATTATTGCATGTTACTTGAATTTATGATTAAATGTTTTCAGGCCAGTCCTCAGGAAAATCAACTTCGTTTTTTAAGTCGATTGCTGGGTAGGGCGTCTAATGGTAGTTTTTTGATTGCAATTACTAAAAATGTGATAATTTGAAGTTTTGTTTTTAGAAAAAAAAATTTTTTCTAAAACATTTTTTCTAAACAATCGAAAACAAACTGTCTGGTAATAAGTTTTAACTTACACTGTTTTAATCGTTTTGCATTTGACTTCTTACAGCTTGTATTCGCTGTTTTCAGAGCGAGCAGAGCCTAACGAAGATCAAGTTCGCCAACTCATGGATATGGGTTTGGGTACTCGAGAGGATGTAACGAATGCTTTACTAGAGTGTTTCAATGATGCTTCCGAAGCTGCTAATTTGTTATTACAAAATAGACAATAAATATAGATTCCAGTGATTCGTCGAGTCAGTTTTAGTAGTCAAGCAGTTTGTTTTCGATTTACTTTTAGTGTCTGTTTCCACTTATGTATCGAATTTTGTCAGTTTGAAATTAATTATCATATAAAGATGCAGAACTGTAATTTTTTATTTGAGAAGTAGACCTGCAATATCTTAGTTTTTAACATTTTTTCGTTTGTTTATTGACATATTTTCTTATACAAAGAATTATATGCTAGTTGAATGTAAGAAATATAATGAGGCGTTGGAAAATATTACCTATTTCTGCTTGGGAAAAGGACTTTTTAAATTACTTTGAGTCTTCAATACATATTTTTCAAGATTATTTGCTCAAATATTCTCAGTAATAGCGAAAGGATGAAGAGTTACGGAACTGGCAAACTCTTGGGTGTCGTTATAATTGGGAAGTGTTTTATTCATCGTTGTTTATTCATCTTTTGAGCGGTGAAAGTCATTTTACAGTCGTTTTTGGATTTTCTTATCAGTAGAACATCACGAAAACTTCTAAGTTTTACTGTTTGATGTCTTCAAGGATAGCCATAATATCTAATGTTTTTATGTGTAATGCACTCCATTCTATTGATGCATCATAATTTTATTGCAACATAGATGTTATGTGTAGAATAATCTCAGTTACATGATCTCTATTGCTTTTCAAGGAAAGTGAGCTTCGTTTTTATGTTTTTTCCGACTTGTTATGATGGTATCAAAAATTATGGTCTGTAAAGGTGCAAGAAAAGTACGAAAACTTTCATCACTTCTGAAATGATGAATGATGTTGATTTAGGTTTTATATTTCATTGTTGCATACTTTTGTACTCTTGGTTATCTCCTTGTTTATATTGTCAATAAATATGTTTTTTTGAGTTTTCTCGAACTGGGGAAAATTAATATTTCCAGTTGTCTCCAGAAGTATATTGATCTAGAAAAAGGATCCAGAAGTTTGATCTAAAAGAAGGTGTTTTAATCTTCACATACATAATACGTTTCTGTTGTTATCACATTGTTGAGAGGCGCCTCATGACAGTAGAGTTGCAGAATAAGGATTCTGCAACTCTATTGTCATGAGGCGTAGTATCAGTAATGTAACAGTCAATACAGATAACTATTAAACATTACAGACGACAGTAAACACTCGGGAACGAATTTGTTTTTTATTTATTCTTTGGACGAGTAGTAATTTTGTTTCAGGGACAATGTCTTCCGTTATGAAACGAAAACATAACGATCATGTGGATTGTGAAAGCGCAAAACGAGGTGTTTGGCTTGTAAAGGTAGGTAACGTAACGTGCTTCCTTTATTTGCATTTTAAGTGGCAGGCGGTTTATGAAGTATGTGTTCATAGCTCACAGTATTATAGTGGAAGTACAAAATGATTGTTTTCTTCGCGTGTTATTGTATTAGAAGTGAACTTAGTCAGGTATATTGGTATGTATAATACACAGCTCTGTTCCTGACAATTTTAAAGTATACCATTCTAGTGCTAGGTTCCTATTCTATTATTTCTAGTTTAACAGAACATGTTTGAGGTTCCAAGGTATTTATCCGAAATATGGGAAAAAAATGCTGGCCATGATGTTGGTCGATTGGTAATTAAGCCATCAAATGGGAAAACTGATCTGATATTTAAGAGCAATCCAAATTTAGTAGGAATTGGTGCAGCAGGTCTGGTGTCAATATAAATCTGTTTTTATGACTTATTTCCAAAAGTTTTATTATAAATTATAAAAATTTTTTAAAACATTGGTTCTGAAATAGTTTTTCACCAGAAGCTTCTTGTTTTTTATATTATTACTGATATATTGCTATAAATTTTAAGTGTTTTTTAGGACATGATAAGGAAGCAGGTCCATCATATTTAAAAAGTACAGTTTCTGCCACTAATTATTCGGCAACACAAGCTAATCGGTTGGGCATATCAAAAAGCAAGTCAGAATGTTTGTCAACTCCAAATGAACACAGTCTTGTTATGGGAGACATCAGGAATCAGTCGCTAGCTGTACTTTGTGAAGGTATTTTACTGTTACTTATAATTTTAGTTCCATCATTACTTTTGAAATACGCAATGCAGTCTTTGATATGTGGACTCGAAAGAGACCACGTTAAGATGTTTTTTTATCAGTCTGTAAATTTCATTCTTTTTCACGTAAATTTTGTTTAGATAAAACTGGCATGAATGAAAATTCTACCATTCAGTCTGGTTGTTTAAGTATTGAAGGACGTGTAGTAAAAAGAGCTGATTGTCGGCCTCCACAAACAGCAGATTATATGCGAATGAAGATGTATGCTTTTGTATTCCCTCTCTTGATTAAATCTCTCAGTACTCATAATATGAAGAGTATATTAAGGTAAATCACTAGTAAACGATTTGAAAAGAAATTGGATTACATATTGTTTAAATAAACTTGCAGAAAACAGATAGAAAAGAGTAGTCAGCCAAAAAGACATGTGAAACAAATGGAAAAAGCAGAAGTGAAGTTCAAGCCTATCGCTGCTCATGCAGAAATGGTTTGATTTCTTCTCCAGAAATTTGCCAATAAAGTTAAAAAACCGTAGCAATATTTTCGTTGCAGCTAATGAAAGAAAAACAAAAGAAGGAAGGAGCAAAAACCGTCCGTGCTGACAAAGACATTGTTAGGCAAGCGATCTTCCATGCTTTTGAGAAACATCAGTACTATCGACTGATCGATTTGCAAAAACTGACCAACCAGCCACCGGTTTGCTCTTTTCTGTATTACGTCTATTAACTTACATATACTTATGGCATCGAGGAAATTGCAATTAATTAAATCTTAAAACATCAGAATATCTTTGTTACCGTTCTAATCTCATATACCCGTAGAACTCTGTTATTTCTATTCCTGCTGTCTGTAATTGTTGCTTTTTAAGTTGATTGCTAATGTCTATAGATTTTGGTTATTATCTACTTCAAATTAGTACTTCTTATTTGTTTTTCAATTTATTTATGCTTTTATTTTTCATTTTTAATGCTTCACTTTTTATCGCATTTTGTTTTGCATTTTCAGGGATATGTAAAGGAAATATTGACAGAAATTGCAATCTATAATACAGTACCACCGCACAAATCGATGTGGGAATTGAAACCAGAATACCGAAGTTATCGCCGAGATAAAAATGCATAAACTTCCAGGATGATATGATGAGCAAGTTTTCTAGAGATTACATAGACATTGTTTCACTTTGCTGATCAGAAGTTAGCAACTTCATCTTTACTGAATGTTTGCATAATTTTATATTAAAAAAAAAGAGCACACGAAACATGCTAATAAATTTCATTATGCAGCTTCTGTTCCTTAAGATCAATCTTGCAGAATATACAATTAGAAGTAATTACTTCCTGATTTTCTGTTCTATACAATTCTTCTCATAAAGTGCTTTTCTCATAAATTGTTATCTCCTGCTGCCAAGCATTACTGCATAAATCCGGATTTTCTATGAAAGGATAATATTTCAGTCGATTCATTTGTTTTCATTATAATAACCATAGGTAAATAACTGATCTGAAGCATCACACAACTCAAGCACTTGCAAATAATCTATATTTGAAATAAGGATAAAGAAAAAACATGTATTGATGCGTAAATTATAATTGTGAAAAAAAATTGTGCTAATACGCAGAAGAAGGGACCGTATAGATTATTCTGCTGATAGTAGTCTTCTAAAATGGTAAAACATGCCAATTATAAAGAGCAAGTCATCTAGTTAGGAGTAAAACCACTGTTTTTAGAAGTGTCTGCATTACAACATGCAAGATATATATTTGTTGTTATTAAAGATCGAGAGACTAGATTATGATTTCTACTTCTAATGAAAGTCAACTCCTATCTGAAGTTATCAAAGAATATCCTTTGAATTTAAGAACTGATCGACATCACTTACTGTGACTTGATATAAAAACATGTAGCACTGATCAATCCGTCATATGTACCTACATATATTTTGACCATATCATGCATAATATCAAGTTTGTTAGAGGACAGTTTGTAAGGATTGCAAATCTGGAAAAAAATGACTAGCCTCGGGAAATGGCAGCACTGGAATGAAAAATTGGTGAAATATTTCTTTAGGAAAGTAGAGCGCAAATATATTCAGTAGTAAGAGTTGACATTAGTCCTCTAGCGCAGGGGAATGCTTTCTTCATGAATGCTACATGTCCACCATGTCGAGTTAAGATGATAGCAATATTTTCATTCTTCTCAACGGCTTCAAAAGGAATTGCTGCAAATAATGGTGCATATTATAATCTACAGGTAAAGCTAGTATTTTATAGTCCAAGTCATATCTTTTCAATTTAAGAATTGATCGACATCACTTACTGTGACTTGATAAAAAACATGCAGCACTGGTCAATCCGTCATATGTACCCAAATATATTTTGACGATATCATGCATAATATCAATTTTGCTGATAAACTCTAATAAATAAACTGTAATTTGTCAGGATGGCATTAATTACATCTCATTTTGATGATACGAAAAGGCTCAAAAAGAAAACTCACAATTCAGTGGGCAGAAGCAGTCATCAGCAGCATTCAAACAAACTGTTGGAATAGAGATACGATCAGCTTTCGAGGGTAAACTAAAGGCATGATAGTAGTCATCAGCACTTCTAAAACCAGCTACAGGAACTGTGAATGCAGTGTCAAAATCTCGCAACGTTTGTGATGACATAACAGCATTCCAGTCACATTTATTTTCGAACAGTGATTTGTATCTATAAAAACTAGTAGATTAATGCTTTCCACGTCAACCTCAAGTAAATTTGCTTGAAATAAAAATTTTGAAGTCAAATTTCAAACCTTTATTCTGACTATTCTAAAAAATACGGCGTTAAGTTGTCATAAATAAGAAGAAAACTGGAATTGCTAATCCTTACATGGATTAAATGCCAAGAAGGCAATGAAAACAGTTGGACTAATTTAAATTTTGCTATTATTTCATGATTAACAAGCTAAAGTTCGTTTCAAGCTGCAGTAAAGCTAACAAACAACAAAAAGAATAAATTTGCTATTCAAATAGAAATTCATTCACACTGCACTTTTCAATATCATATATCTACAAAATAACAAAGGTACTGAGTTATATATAAGAGCATACGTTATACGTACATATGTAACTCAATTTTTATCACTACTCATTAACAAGATAAGATAACTTACCGTTTTAATGAATATTTTGCAATGACAACAATGGAGCGATTGAAAAAAATTGAAGGCAAAAATCTTTCAAGAGATAATACTGAAGCAGATGCATCGAATACAACTGAGATGCATATTGCCCCAATGAGGCCTGTTTCTGAAGCTATTTTGCATTCTGCCAAATAATTCCAAAGAACTATTCTGAAAACTGAAATATTTAAAAAGCTTAAGAAATTTATGCTGTGTTGCACGAATATGTGAAGAGTTGAATAAAATTAAAATACAGAATCACTTTGGTACTTGAAATACATAAAACAATTTAGTAAATCAAATTTTCTTGTTTCAAATTTATGCATAATTTTTGCTTGAAGAACTCACCCTCCCAAAGAAAAACCACATGCTACTTTTGGTGAGTGTTGAAATCTTTGATTTATCAATTGAATAACGTTTTTCAAATCACAGGTATAAGCTGCATTGTTTGTCTGCGCAGTCTAAAATAAACCGCGACCTAAACCATAAAACGACAGATTCTAGCAAAAAAATATTGAAATATACTGTAAATGAGACAATCATTTACAAAAACTACAACTAACAAGCTTGATAACACTTCGGCTCATTCCATCTTTTCTGCAATTCACGAAGAGATAAAAAATTACTTTCAATGGTACACCAGCTGAACCACGATGATTGACGACGACTGAGCGAAAGCCTTTTTCATAAAGTTCCCAAACTGTATGCAAAATATACGAAGAAGAGCTAGAACCTGAAACCTATTTCATAGGCGTTATTTTGAAGTCGGCCAAGATTAATTGATACGGAGGAAATTAAAGATAAAATTAATTACACACCTCTAATTCACCCAAACTATTAAATGTACAAAAATCTATAAGTCACTTTAACTATTTTCATTAAAACCAAAACCTATTTTTAAAATTATCAAGAGCATTAACTTTACGTACCAAAAACATCAATTTTATAATGAAATTCCGATACTGTCAGAACTGATAAGTAATAGCAATTAATTTTAAAAGAAGAATATATCATTTTCGGTCTATTTTAAAACCATTTTTGCTTGTTAGATAAATTAAATTCAAAAACATAGTTTTATAATTGTTTCTTTACTTCCACAAAAAACTCTTAAAGAAAAATCACTGACCTGCAATACCAGGTAATAATACAATAATAGGTGAAGTTGACTTAACATTAACAGGTTCCAACCAATCAAGCGCTAAAATACCACCATCATTGAGAGTAATGATTTCTCTGAAACCATAAAATAAGAAACTTTTACAATAAAAATTATCTTCAGCAATAAACTCATTCTCTTCTGCAATTTACTTTTAAGCACTTTTTTTATAAAACTATGAAATACATTGTTGCAACAAAACGAGATTTGGATAAAAATTCTTTAATGACAAATAACCTCTTGAAAGCGGGATATTTAACATAAGCGAAAAGTCCTCGGGCAATAGTTTGTAAGGAACCGAATGGACACCACCAGGTTGGTATGAAAACTTTATTTATACATGGTAACTGTTGTAGCAAATTCTCCAATCGTGATCCTTTTGCAACAAATAACTTTGGTTTCTGAAAACAAACACTTAACAATGAGCTAATTCCTCAAGATAAATTTTTTTAATGAATAACCATTCTAACGTTCTCTGCTTTTCTAATAATTAATAATAGAAAGACTCATAACCCAGACGGAAATTAATTCAAAATTGATTATTGCGCATTTACTCAAATAAATGAACGACTCAAATACTGGTATAACACTTTTTTGACTTAACAATTTTTATAGATATTTTCCCGCTTATTAACAACACATTACGAATAATACAAGGTACAAAAGTAGGTGTACAATAATCTTGCATACATTTTAAGCATTTATTTCTTTTAAAAAATTGAATATTTTTCACGGCAATTATTTTACAGAATTAAACAAAACAAAGATAAGTCATCAACAACTCAAGGTAGCACATTCCATGATCATTTTATTCCCCAACATTGTGCCACACTTTTTTCCAGAAAACAAAATTATACATTTTCAAATAGTTTACAAATATTTGATGAAAAGTTTACAACAACTTTCAAATACATGATGAAAAGGTAAAAAATATATTAGAAGATATAATTTACTGATCAGTTCTTCATTTTTTCAACAACAACAACTTCAATAAGAGCAATGAAACTCTTATTTAACTTCGCTAAAAAGCTAAAAGTTGATTCAAGAAAACAAAATTGGAAAATACATTACAATTTAAGCTTAGCAATACATTTAATACTAATAAAGCTGTTCACATTACTTGAATGAGATCTCATAAACTTTTTGTCTTAAAAATTGTTTTCATAACTTGCGATTTTTACCTACCTAAGTCCGATACTTATTAGCAAAGTAAAACGTATTATTGATGCATACATTGAAAAATCCGTTGCAAATTAACAATGTTCCGTAAGAGGACTTATGATTGTACAGCAATATTTGCCATTTCTTGGATGAATTTTTCGCGATGTATGATATTTGTGGCAGCGATAACAATACGAAGATTATTATTTTGTGCAAGAAGGGTTAAAGCAGCAACTTCTGCATACGTTACACCACCAATGAAATAAACCAAAATAGCTTTCCGAATACGGCTATCTGGTGGGCGACTTGCTCGAGTATACGAATTTTGATCACAGAAAACAACAGAATCACCAAAAGTTGTCTTCATTTCTTGCATATTCCACCCATTATTTACAGTGTCACCAACTATTTTGCACAAAATTGGTGTATAAAAACCTGAGAAAACATAACGCATTTGATCTGGATTTCGAAGATTTAATTCTGGCTCTACATCACTTGGAAGAAGAGCCATACGTCGTGCTAAGAACTGAAATGTTGGCCTCGAAACAGATGATGACTTTGTTACTTGGGATTTCATTGAAATCATTGCTTGTACAGTAGGTATCTGTGGTGTAGGATGTTCGAACAATAATCCCTGAATGCTCAAAAAATGTAACACAACAAGACTTTCATGACCATAAGCATGCAAATACTGGTTACGGAATTGCATATAATATCTTGTAGGGATACCATTTTGAGTAATGGACCATAAACATGCTAGCATAAGAACTTGCCACTGATCTCGTTGAGTACACATACAATCTTCCAGATATGCTAGTACTTCATTAGCATCAAAGTTTCCTGAAACTATTGCATGCTCCAAAACCAACCGATCCGAAATACCTTTACATTTCTCGAGAACTACTTCGCAAGCACAAATATGCAATTCTAGTAATTTATGTTGATGATGAAGTGTTCGTAATTCGTTAGAAACAAATTCTTTCATATCTTTGATTTGTTCAAGATTTGAACCTTTATCATAACCTGCTTGAAGTGACTTTGCTTTTGCGCTCAAAAATGGAAAAACTGCCGTCATGTGCATATTCCGTACTACTGAAAAAATAGGATCATTATTATCCAAACTAGTTATCTTCAATTGATTTTTTGTATCACCTTTTAAACGCTTTTTTACTTCTTCACCAAATGTTACTTTTCCGCAGTTAATTCCAAATGTATCATGAACCATTGATTCATAAGTTAAGCCAGTAAGCAGAACTGTTGTTAAATCCAAATTTCGATCCAATAAGAATAAATGACAAATAGGTTGATCAGGTGAGGAACGTGGTTCACCTAATTCTGCGTACAGTTTCTTCATTAATTTATTTACATGAGCGCTATTTTCACCTACTCCATAAACTATTGGAATCAAACCATAAAGCGACTGCAACTGCCATAATGATTTAGCAACTGCGCGAAGATGAACAAATGTATGATCGACTAATGTTGCCATCGTAAATTCATGATGTTCCAAGCTGAATAAATGTGAGTCAATGCTAATAAGAGGTAAATCAAGTTCAAATACTTCAATCATTCCAAATATTCCACGACGTTCGAATTCTTGTTCACAGATATACAATCTCTGAGGGACAAATATTACTGAATATTTTCGTTCTGGTTCAGCTAGTACATGCTCAGCAATACGTTTTGATGCAGCTAATGTTGGACGTATAATGTATACACGACGTAATGAACGTTCACTCCACGTTAAATCTGCATTAAGTAAAAACTGCTGCACGTAAAGACAATTATGCTGTTGTAGTATAGACATAGATGCAATTTTGTCTAATGGACGCATCAAACACGATTCCACAGCCAAATCTTTGACTTCAGGCATTGATTCTAATAAGTGAATCAATTCTCGTCGAGCCATTTGCGCCAATAAACCAAAATCATCAAATTCTGCCATATTTTAGCCTTTTTTCTTCTATCTGCTATCGTATAAAAACCGCTAAATCGATTCTAAAGCGCATTTTTAAAATCATTGGTAATTTGTTATTACGAAAAAGTAAAATAGTGAATTACATGAAATCATTAAAAAATATTACAGTATTGCCGCTGACAAAATGAAAAGATAGCGCTCAATGGCTATTTTCAGCGGTTTTATTAATCAATAACAACCTCCCAAACAATGCGATATTTGTTTTGGGCTAACTTCTTTTCAACAAATATTCTTCACTTGATGATTTTTGAACTTTTTAAGAAAGAAGTTGCTACTAAAGAATGATTACAAATTCCAATTACTCAAAAATGAATTACAAAAAATAAAAAAATAAAACTAGAATTTCGTCGCATCATCATTTCAGTGAAAAATTTTTCAAAATATTACCTGAGCGGTAGTACGAGAATACACATACAGAACTAAAAGTACCAGAAAGAGTAAGCAAAACCAAATGTAATTTATCATTTGATTACAATTCTGATATACCAATGGGTCACTAAAACAAAATTGGCAAAAAAATCTTTACAAAATTAATTCAATCCCAAAAGTTCAGTTTTTTACAAAAACATATTGCTATCAATAAATGATCAATAATTACTTCAAAACTAGGCAACTTTATGAAGACAAACTCTTAACAAAAAACCTCAGACCCAGTACTTTTTAATTAACGTGAAAAAAATTTTTGCTGAACCACCACTTGGTAAATTTTATCAACAAAAAATTACTCACTTTGTCAGTAAACATTAATCATAAACTTTCTTCTCAAAATTTACTACTCCTATTTCCATTTCCCAACAACATACTACTAAATTACTTCAACGAAAGTGAACACATTTCAAATATGGCAACGAGTAAAATAACCCACCCACCCATTAAAAAAACACAAATAACTGACATTACTTATGGAAAAGAGACAGGTAAATACAAGTCAAAAAGACTGCATAAAGCATAATATCTCGAAGGAAATTAAATTACTCGACGCTTTTATAATGAAAAAATCAGAAAAGTGTAGTTATAAGTTCAGTAAATTCAGGTATTTAGATTCTTTTTTGATCTTTCATGACAAATTTACGAATTTGTAAAAAGAATTATTCTCAAAACCATGTGAATAACCTTCAACATCAAGCCTGACCTTCTTGAAATTTTTCCCAAAAGCTACTTCGTTTGTAATCATATTTGAATGATACTACACCATATCAGAAATTTAAATTACAATTTATAAGCAATTGAAAGGATTTGTTTCCAGGACCAACTGATGTCCAAACGAAATATTAAAGTGCTGAACTCAATAATTAAGCTTCACATTCAAAAACTGCAGAAAAATGACTTAGATATGTATTCAGGTACAAGTGTTCAATAAGATATGAATCTATACTTGATTTATATCGCAAAAAAAATTATTAATTACATCTAAATGCGCGTTACTACTTTTATGAATATAGTGAGATTGTTTCACTAACTGAATAATCCTAGCAGCGTCTTTTCTGCATTACCAATTCGATCACTTTCCCCAGCATGTGATGATAGCCAAACAGCAGTTAACTCATCAGAGTACAGTTAGCTATTTCGTTGAAAAATCCATAGAACTAATCATACAGCCACCCTAAAATGTTCTGAATTCCATGCTCTTTAAGTTAAAAATAATGAAAAACTCTTTCAAACAACATTCATCATCGAACCTTTTGATAAAGCAACTAATAACTATCAATATGATATACTCACCTGGTGCTAAACGAAATCCATACCATAAATACATTTGTTACTGTAAAATTTTGATCCTCTCAACAAAATTTTTGAATAGAATTGGAACCTGAAAGCATTGTATACTTTTTAATTTTGCATGAAATCAATGAAAGCTGTTTGAGAGCTAAACTACGGGAAAAATGTTCGAGTTTTACTAACTCTAGAAGTAAAAAAAACAAGAAACATAAACTGTCCATGTTCTCAATCTCGATTCACCATATCATGAATAAATAAAGCACTACAATCGTGAAATATCTTCCTGCAATAAAAAATTGAAAAAATTAACAAGAACTTGATACGAAACTTCTTATTAATTCAGTTCATCAGCAGTCTAATTTGTTTATTCATCACTTTGGCTGAAAGTGAATTTTAATAGCTTGAAAACTGCATGACTTTGCAAAGACTATTCACTGATAGTAGCAAAGTCAAATAGCGTAAACAAAAGAATGAAATCCAAGAGATACTTAACATGATATTAAGATAACGTCAGACTGCATTAGCTCACGAGAGATTTTAAAGATTATAACACCATAGAAAATATATATGGTACCAAGTTCTACAGAACCTGATCGGTCAGTAATCTCTTTGAATAAAGTAAGCAAACCACGAAATGACAAAAAGCACTGTTCTCTACCATAAAAAAGCTTCTAGAACGCAAATAAATCACCATAAATGCTGGAAATTTGTGCACAATTTAATCCCCACTTACGTGTTCACTGTTTTATGTTTTCTCACCTTCAGAATTTTCATAAATTTCTGGTTAGCAAAATTCTAGAACATCTTCAAAAGTATTGCTTGAACAAGAATCTAAATAAAACCTCCATTTCAAACAAATTGCAAATAAAATATACCAATATCAGCCAAAATTATGTCTGAACATACTACCTCTAGTTCATTTCAATAAAACAAATGCATAAATAACCATATTTAGATATCGTCGTAACTCTGCTCTGACAACCTAATTGTCATTTTTCCCCCCAAATTTTCACAAAAACCATACCTTCGTCTTGATCACATCTCTGCAAGCGGAATAAGACTTATTTTTTTTGAATATGCATCTAACTAAACATTCCATATATTTCTAAAAAACCATTAGCATGAATCATATTTAAAACAAACAGGTTCAGACGAAAACATTGCGCTGTACACCACTTAACTACTGCTGAACGAAGATGTTTCTAAAATGCAGCTGACATGATACGATCCATGGAAACAGGAAAATGCAGATGAAACTCAGATGAGAATACCTTGTTATTATGTCAAGTGTTACTAAGTCTAGGAACTTCCTGAGTATCAACTAGTAATTGTAACGATGAGCTTATCTACCGTATATTAGTTTGAAACTAAATACGTCGAAATGTTATCAGTTTATGTTTCAGTATACTTGTGCAGTAACAAAATCAACAAAATTTATCAACTACTTTAAAAAGGCAATAAAAACAATACCGAACTTAGAGTAAATACAGAACACAACCAATTAACTCATAATGATTTTAAAACTTCATTTTTTAAAATTACTTAGGTAATTTTCTTAATAAAAAATAGAGACATAACGTAACGCTACTAGCATGCATCAAAAAATTTTTTAATCAGTAAAGTAAACAACGCGCAGAGACCAGTCATAACAACTTCATGAGGTTAATCCTGATTGTCATCAACACCACCGTTTGAATTATTGTTGTCTTCAGCAAACGAAGTTTCATTTCGTTCTTCTTCAGACTTCACCGGCTCGACATTTTCAGTTTTGTTATCTTGTTCATTAGCAGTTTTTGCTCTTACATTTCTTTTCCTCTACAATTTTTATGAAATATCAGTTATTATGAAAAGTAATTAACAATACGAATAAAAAAGCTAGTTTTGTATACTCCATATACTCTTTCAAAAACTGAAATAAAGCTGGAAAATAATTTGTACAAGCACGAAACTACAGATAGCTAGTAACTCACAATACGAAAGAGTGTCCAAAAATAAACAGTTGGAAATTAAATATTGTGTCAAAAAATTAAATAAATCTTCCAAAAAACTAACGATATCAAATTAACCGATGTAATCTCGCCAATTCACTGATTATCAAGAAAATAACTATCAATGCTAACAAAAAGTATGAAAAAATTTATAAACCTTGCGAATGGTGAGAGGTGTCTCGGAATGTATCGCAATACGTTTTGCAGCCCGCAAGCGTTCAATTGTTGGGACTGGCTTTGCTGATATTGCAGGCTGAGCATTCGATATCGACGAACGTATCTAGTAATACAAATATTAAAGGACTATGATAGGGCATAAATTTGTTAATTAAGAAGTTGAAGTATGAGTCAGGAAGAAAATAGATGATAGTAAATAATTTTTTTGGGAATTTTATAAAATTGCTTTCATCGACCTTGTATTCTGTCAGTCCATCATCACTTTTAATTAAATAATTTTGCAAATCAGCAGTGAAATTGTTTCCTAATAGTATTATATTGACACTCGCCGATCCTTCGAGATGAGCATTTTCTAACTGCATAAATGAAATGGGATCTACACTTCGCCAACGTCGCTGTGGACTCATGTATTCCCATAGACGATGTTCCCCTGCAAAAGGCTTTCGGTTATCAAAAAAAATAAGAAAAATGCTTTTTGTTACTTCTTGCATATCAATGAATTAATGACCTTCATCATTCTGAATTGCACATCGTACCGGTCGAACAAATCCGGTATCCAAATTTTTTTGCTTCATTAAGTTCAAATCAACTTGAAGTTTTGATTCGTCCAATTCAAACTCGGCGCTTCTATCCGGAATGCTTTCACTCAAACCATGCAGATTAGTTATCGAAATTATACAACTCATTTTGTAATAGCTGTTAACTTAAAATGATGCAAGTGTTTAACAGTAATAGAAAAAAGAAAATATTCAGTTTTAATCTGATTTAATGAAATTTTTTAGGTCAATTCCATATTTCATGCTATTGGTATAAGCAAGTCGGAAAAGTGCGAATTTATTGCTATGAAAACTTTAAATAATAAAATGCTATTCCTACAGAATGTTTTCTGAAAATTAATCTGATAAATGTGCATAGATTGGGACTGGATAAAATAAGTAATTTGAAATCTAAATAAACAGAAGAGCTTCAGATGAGTGCTTCCATTACTTTTATTTGTTCGATTTATAATAACTAAATATGTATAATCTTGCAGAAAAGTGCTATAAATTCCTCATTGTACTTCATTACTTGATAATGATTTGTAGCGTTACTTCAGTCTTGCACAGATGATATCTTCGTATTTAACCCAGCTTCCCGCATTTAACTGGTACTCCCAAACCAACTTCTTCAATAATTCTGGGTTTTTGATATCAGCAGTTGGTTGGACAGTGCTGGATACAGTCCTGTCGTTCTCACTTTCGATCTCCTCCATGTCACTTACTTTTGTTTGCTATAAAACTGTTTTAATGCGACAAAATCACGAGGCAATGCAGAACCTACAATACAAATCTTAAATGAACAGGAATTTTATGAAAAATAAAATATTCTCCGTACAAAGACAAGACAAATTAAAGTTGCAAAACAATATAACTGAAAAACATTTTCATCTCTGAATATCACCTATTACCTAAAGGCAAAGTATATGAATATTTGCAACTAAACCGCTGAAAATATGCTGCTGCTCATGAATTCGAAGTTGAAGATAAATGAGGGAAATATATAAATTTAATAAAACTTTTTTTCTCTCTCAATTATTCTGAACTTTATACCAATCACTTGAGCATAATTCGAATTAAATTGGCTTTTTCAAAAAGAAGCAAGCATTTTGAAGTTTTTCATTAAAAAAACACATCAAAATGGCACTTTTATGTGTATACCATTCATTTATGATATTCTAGAGATAAGTATTCGTATAAATCTTGCCGCTTACAAATTATATCGTCCATCCTTAAATTACCATTATTGCGGGAAATAAAAATTGCAATAAATACCTCAACCACTACTTATGACACAACCAGAATAAATTTTTGATATTATGGTTATAAAGGTTGGTATTTCACATGGTTAGTTTTTCAAAGCTAGAAAATTTACCAACAGAAATGAAATAGAAGTTTCTAATACACGACTTTCTACTAATAAAAGGTTCATATATTGCAGACCACCTCATACTAATAGCATGAAAATGTACTGAAATTAACTGATTTCGTACCATGAGATAATAACTGGTACGCCACCAAATAACATCACTAACCACAAAATTGCTCACAAGCTTTTGATTTGACATTTAAGCACATTTGATAACAACATAACTGTATATCAAAAAATATAGAAATAAGTGAAACAAGCTGGCTCAGTACAACTTCTCGTCAAATAAAATTTGCAATGACAATTAATTACATCAGATTTTAACACTTAGTCAATCTCTAAAGCATTAAAGCAATACTTTCCACCCCACAAAAATAAATTTTCAATAAGTTAAATGGGCTTTTAGTACTGAGATATCACAGAAATCATTAAATCATGTGCTTTTTCTCTATTCAAATTTACAAAAACATACAAACCAGAACTGCTTTTCACGTACTGAACCAAGTAGATAACAGAAACAAAAACAAGAATCACTACTTTCTAACAATGCATACTACTCAAGCGTTTATCTAAGATTCTCAATAATTCTTCAACTCCAAAGTTAGAAAGCAAAAAGACTGCTCTCACAAACTAACTAACAGCAATATAATTAAGTAATACTCAACAATATAAGTATACAGTGTAGTTGAGGAACCAACAATAAACGGTAGCCGCGGGAGAATGTTTTTCATATGATCTTTACCATACTTCATTCCACCATCATCATCCTCGCTATTCTTAGTTTCATCTTCATATTCCCAAAATTTCGCTGCTCCTTCTGTAATTCCAACTTTTTTGCAATTTCAAGACGAAAAACATCCTCACAAGGCAAATACACTCATTTTAATTTCTTACTTTCTCTACTGTGCTGAATAAAAAGACAGATCACACACAATCTCATACTTCACACTAACTTTCCAAACACGCACGAAATGTGTGCTTCTTCCTATCAGCTTTGGAAAGGACTCGTAAAAAATCAGTACTTAATTACTGAAAGAACAAATAATCAATTATATTGATAAAAATATGATATAAAGGATATAAATTAATTAGCATAAAACTATAGAATCTTGAAGAGAACGCCAGCTGGACACACAACAAGACTTAATGAATTTAAACCAAACCAAATGCTATCTCATCGATTGGTATCGATCGATAGCTAACTTTACATACAGTACCTTAATATTAGGTACGGTTGAAAATACTGTACGAATTACAGAATGATAAAGTAAAACTGAGTACTGTATTAATTAATAATAAAGTACTCATTAAATGGTCTTCACACTGTCTTAACAAACAATCAGCCTTAGCACCATAAAAAACAGCCTCCTACGGCCGCTTTAACTCATTAATAGTTATCCAAATTTAACACACAACCGCACGAAGTATTTATAAGATCAATTTTATGGCCTATTATGTCCTGTTAAGTCTCATTTCAATGGTTTTTGTTTTGTTGTAGTGGTCATTGGTTAGTTTGAGCTTAAACTTTGCACTTACTCTTTTTTTAATCAAAAGGTCATATGCCTGATATTATTGTTGCTTTTTATTTTATCTCATTTTTCCATAATCACTAATGAATCAGGAAATAAAGCACAAATAATATCAGACATATGACCTTTTATCAGGCATATAACCTTTAAAATATTATCAATTAAGTTCATAATTTATGATCTCGAATTATCAAATGCATACCTCTTTCATGTATTTTGGAGTCATTTAAGTAAGTTTGAAAATCCTTTGAAATTAGGCACTTCTGGAAGTCCATCGAGTTAAAATTTTTGTATCTGAAGTTAATTCTTTTGTAGTACGATGCGATCCGATGGTTTTGAAGTGGACGAATGAAGTCAACGCGCTTTGAATACAGCATTTTCAGATTTCTGCCCTGAAAATACTGCTAATTTTCATTTGAATTATTTTTGATTTATTTTTTAATAGAAAAAAAAGTAATTATTAGTAATTTATAATCACAAAGTTGAGTTGAAACGAAATTTGTGAACTTTACTGAGAATTTCCAATATATTTGCAAGAATTATCAATCACTGATACTTTAAAGTTGAAAAGTATTTCATGTAAAGATGAAATTAATCTCAGTAGAATCAAATAAAATTCGCAAGTAATTGTTGCTGTGAACTTTTTTCTAAATCAAATTATTGAAGTAGTAGTTTCCAGGATTTTTGATATCTTAACTTCTATTATATCAGCAGATTGATGACTTTTCGCTACGAAAATTTTTGATCAAAACAAATTATCAGAAGTTACGAACCGGATTGATAAGGATTGGTCTATCGAAAATCAGAAATGGAAGATCTTCTTCACATTGACCTGTCATAAACGATCCGTGATAAAACGCAGCACCAGTAAAATAACGTGGTATAAAGTAATCAAAATGCACAGCAACTTCATCAAAGTTCTGCTCTCCACCTTAATAAATAATTTTAATAAACTTATCAAAGTAAACGTTATTTTCGCAGCAATAAATTTATTATTATTAGAACAATAATACTTATGACAATAGTGCTAATAATAATTATTATTAATTAGTATAATACCATATATAATATTCTTGACCAGCTTAGTGGGAATGAATAAATCAAAGTCGACAATTTCACTGCGATTTATTCGCGGGCCCGCGGTCTCAGCAGTAACCAACATAGAAGCAATTATAAAATATTTTTTAACGTTAGGATCTTGGTGACATAATTTGAACTCGAGTTGTATCTAAATTTTTTAAAGCAATAAAATAAGCCAACGTTTGTGGCTATAAGTCAAACATAGCCCTCATTCATTTACTAATTCTGTTGAATAAATATTGAGAATTTTTGAAATACTTTCACAAGTTTCAATATTAATATAAAAAATTCCCGTATTTCTTACCATAAATACTAATTGAGTATTTTTTTAAGCATTACTTAGCATTTTAATTCATTAATTTTTAACATGCTGCTTGAGGAGTAAGTCCAATTCTTCAAACTCCCATACCAATACAAAGACTTTTCTGTACTTAAACGTTTTATTTGTCGAGTTATACACTGTTTTTTTGATAAAAATTTGTTTGAAATTTAAATTTGGTTTTTTGAATTCAATTACTCTCCTCCTTCCTTTGCTTAGTTATTCTTCCCCAACGATAAAGTCTTCAAATTTTGAATATTTGTGATAAATTTTGCAAAAGTATTACAGTTATGATTGTATCCAACCTTTTTGCAATTTGCATTGTTAACAAAATAACTTTAAAAGCGTAATTTTCAATAAAATTAAACTATCACACTAGTGTGATTACTCTTCCAGTGGCAGCAACTGCACTATAATTTGCTTCATAAGTGATACAGTTGATAATTTAATTAAATTTGTTAGTCGTTTGTTTTCAAAAGACGATATTAGCATATGCAGCATTATAATTAAACAATTAATAACTTAAATAATTAAGTAAATATGACTACTTAGAACTTGGAATTCTTTGAAAAATATGATCTTATGGATTTGCCAGAACAAATAATAATTACTAATTATTCGAATACAAATTTACAAACTTCTCCAATAGCTCTGCCCATTTCGCCAAAATTCTGTAATTTATGTACTGAACCATTTAGGTTATGCTTGAAAAATAACCATATTTTTTTTAAATAAAATGTATCGCCGTGGAATTGCAGCAATGGTGTAATGACTTCAAATCCAGGTCTTGATAGCGTAACTAAATCATTAATTAAGTGATTCTTTCTATTAATTTTCACTTTATCCGAACATTTTTTATTCAAATAGCAATTCATTTGCTGTGAGTAATTGTTCAAAAATTCATATTTTTCTTATTAGATTACTTAACACTATAAATGAATGTTATTGTAGTAAAATAAAATATATCTGATTTATTATTAATTAATTAATTATAATAATAAATAACAATAATAATAATAATTAGCAAATAAATAAGAACTATAATATTTGCTGGTAATGATAACTAACATCTTGTTGGGATATAACTGATTCTGAGCGGATTTTTGCTTTCCGTTTTCTCGAAACCAATTAGTGTAAAAGTACCCTTTTCTATCTTTTGTACTATGAGTTCGTTGGCATCAATAGACACCGGTGATTGCTTTGTACCTCTATTACAAAAACTGTCAACCTCTTCTTGGCCCTTGGCCAGAACTAAAATTAATAAATTAACTAATTAGTAGCCATTTCAAGTTTTTCAATCAATTAAGCATAAATTGCAATAATATTCATTTTTAAATCTTTTGGAATTTTTAATAAATTGAAATTCCATTTACTAATCAAATGTTTCCTCATAAATATCATTGTTCAACGTCAACAATCCTCTGCATACATGCTTTATAATATTCTCTGCAATTAATTAATTAATTAATTCATCAATTTCTTACTTACTTGTCATTTTACTGGCCTAACTTCTGCTAGATAAGTTTGCTTACTCTGTTTGCCCCACCAAAAGCTATTAAGTTATTTGGAGAGTTTTCACGCCGTTTATAGTGTCATCGTGTATTTTATTATCAAAGAGGTGGAAAAATTCATTAAGTAAATTTTTACTTTTAACCTTTAACGTTTAACTTTTGATATTTTACGCATTCAATCAAGCGCAAGATAAATTTGCAATTATTAAATAACGTTCAATTTTTCATTAAAATTCTGTTGATAGTTCTCTAAATTGTATTCTGAATTATTTCATTCTTACGTGAGCATAAAATGTTCAAAATTTTGTATGCTTCAACACTAATTGTATTTCTATTTGATGAAAGAAAAATGTAAATTTCAGTTGCGTTTTTGAAAATATTTGCCATTAAATTTAAAAGTAATCTTTTAATTGAAAATGAAGTTAAAATTAACATTTCACAAATATGATTGACCGTATAAACCACAAATTCATTCCTTGCTCAAAATAAGGCTCTGAAAGTAAATGCGGATTTATTGAATACACATATTTGTGTATTCAATAAATCACAATAATACACAATAATATATAATTAATTAATAAAATTAATTTAAATTACTCTTATACTAATTAGCATTACGTTTGTATTGTTGAACATGGATAAAACTCAAAAAATAATTTTGTAATTTTCGATTGTTTGCAAATTTATGCTTAATTTTGATATCAAATTTAGTTTGTAAAAATTTAATAAACTAGTTTTAATAATAATATAGATTAGTTGCGATGGGACATAATATGATCGAATATTTACTATAAATTCATCAACTTTTGACGATACCAAACATTTTCTCGAGAATATACCATAAATACTTTAATGTCATAATTTGATAATAATCCAAAAGTCAAAAACAATTTTTACTAAATTCAATTTTAAGCTATGCGCTAACTAACTAGCTAACTAACTAACTAACCTCACTTGACCGCTCATTTTTAAATTGTGAAAAAAATTATAATCCCTCGTAATTTTTATCCACTTTTTACTGCATATTCATAACTTGCATTTTTACTTTGATTATTTACAACCATTAAATAAAAAGTATTAAACGCTTAAAAGTATAAAAATTTTATTTGCTTTCAAAATCTAAAGCAAAATATTGGGCAAAATTTTGCAATTGATTTTCTATTTTTATCAAAAGATTATAGCTATACTTTATTCCTTAAAATATTTTGCTGGCAATTATTTTGAATAATAAATTTGTGTATTTTTAGCAAAAATCAAGAGAAAATGACTGCAATTGCATAAATTAAATTGTCATAAATTTGATAACAATTCAGACATCCACAAATTTATGCAAATATTAAAAAATTTTGCATTAAATATATGTCGTAACAGTTATGTTTTGAAATTAAATACATTAAAAAATAATAGCAAGTTTTTAATATTTAGTTTTTAATTAAAATAGTATTTAATTATTTTTTTTTCATAAAATATATCTTCTACAAATAAGGCATTTTATGGACTTTTAATTGCATTAAGTAATTATAATTAAAAATACTGCTAATTGTGTTAATCATTTAAGTATTTTTAAGTATTGTAAAATAAATAAAATTTAATAGCAGAATTGCAAATTAGAATTATTTGAACCTTTCATTTTCACTTTTGCACCAAATACATTTTAATAAAATAAACTGACATTCAAAGATATTCGTTTCAATATTTTTAGTATTTGAACAAAATTGTAGTCCCGAATAAACGTAAACCTCATGTACAATGCAGTATCTACATCACTTTTGACAGAATATTTGAATTCAAAAGAATCCATTATTTAGACCAATTAGATTTGAAAGGAATAGCGTAAATTAGAGAATAATCAGTGCTGACTAAGAAATAAAAATAAATTAGATCAAAGGATAAAATTAATCTAATTTTGCACAATATTTGTCGGATATAATTTGTTATGGAAAGCTGTGAATAAATAATTATAAGGGATTTATTTTAAAATTAGCCACTATATTTTTTAAAAGTATTTTAAATGAATTTTTTTGGAAAGGAATAAGTATGCAAATTATTTGAATATCTCTTGCTATTATAGTGAAATTGTGAATTGTTTTTGCAAAATAATCAATTTTAATAAAAATTTGTGAATTTCAATTAGTATGTAATAAATTCGTTTAAATATTATCAAATCACTGCATTTGATATTATTTGAAACAAACGATACCAAACAGAATGATCTGTAAACATGTTGTTAATAACAGCTTTATCTGGAAGTAAATTATTAATATCATTTAAAATTAGTAATATTAGACGTTACTAATAATTATTAATAATATCACTCGTTGTTCTGATTCAGTCAAAAGGACACATTTAATAAATTATCTGATTCAATAAATAAACACGCCTCCAATTTCCTTCAAATTTATATAATGTATTGATGAATTTATTATGTTGTCAGATTTGTTAGCTTAACCTGATTTATAACCGACTTGACCTGCTGAATCGACTTAATGGACTGACCTGTTATAATCCATCAATGTGTTGTGTTGCTTTAAAATTAATGTAAAGCTGTGGATGAACTTCATCTCATCTTCTTTATCCAAGTAGCAGCTGCAGTATACTTATAAACTTTATTGCTTACACAAAGATGTGAAAATTTTTCGCAAAATTTTCGGTATTATCTTTTAAAATAATACAATTATTTAGTCAATTTATTTGCAAATTAATCAACCCTTCTCTGACCTTTGAACTATTGTGGAAGATCTTACTAACTATATTTGTTTTCATCTCTAACACATTTTACTTTGCTAATTTAGTACTATTTTTTACTTTCAAAATTAACCCAAAATGCAAACAAATTATGTATCCATTATTATCAGAATATCCACAACAATATTCTGATATCTTTAAAAATTTTCAGCACATATCAGTCCCATCCACTTCAATCTTGAATAATTTAACAATTTACTATTTGCTTACGTCTTAATCACCAATTCAACGTAATCAGTGTTCCTCTTTGAAGTCGCTCGAGTACGTAAGTCTAAGAAAGCCAAAAATTTATACTTTTTTAAATTATTATTAAATATGTCAATTTTATGTAATTTATTTTGCTAAAAGTAAAATTAGGAGCTATTACGCTTTCAGATATTATATGTTTTCTTACTTTTTTATAAAATTCCTCGAACTTTTGTCTTGTTCAGTCCATTTAAAAAAATAATTCCTGAAAGAAAACAAAAATGATTGAAAAAATTGTAATTTAACTTCAGGATTTAAAAAATATGTAAAAGCCTTCAGTTGATATTTGCATCATTTTGAATGTTTCGGTGAGATATACATACATATATACATTACAGCAATCATTCTTGGCTTCAAAATTATATGCTTTTTGTTATTACATTAAATAAATAAGCAATTTTAAAAAGTAAAAAATATCAAAAAATTACATCATTTTAAATACTTTATTAGCTATCGAATAGTAATAAAAGATAATATGAATGGTAGTTTTGGTGTAAGCTTTTTTAAATAATTTAAAGGATAGTTAGGATAATATTTCATATTTATTTTGTTTAAAATGATTTAAACATTTTGAAAAAGGTCAAAAGAGGTCAAAAATGTTTGGTTTTTACTTTTGATTACTACTAATAGATGTAAGTAAAAAGCTAGCGAGTTATTGATTTTATTATAAATATTTTTACTAAAGTAAAGTTCTATGGCAAAGTTATCAAAAATTTTTCCCAAGTCAAAAAGTACTGAAAGTATAAAAATAAATTCATTTGCTGAGCATTTGCCTGCAATATTCTCACTACTTCAGATGATTATTACGCAAATTTGTTTTCTAATTTTTTTTTAAAGAAATTATTAATTGCTTGTTTGCATAACTTTTAATTTATATATAAATTTGTTTGCAAAAAATTTCAACTTCTAGCAGGTAAAATTTTTGAATCCATCAATATCAGTATATTTCACTTATTTCAATCGATATTTCCCGGAAATGTAAACTTCGAGGAATCTTTAAATTCCTGACTAACCATATAATTTTTGATATTTTTTAGAGTATGAAATGAAATTTTCAACAAAAAAACATATTTCAGCTTTATAATTAAATTTTTAAATTTTTGATAAAAAGATTAACTATTAGTTAATTTTTAACGTTTATTATTACTTGATTTTTATATTGTATTCAGCAGATACGTGAATTATTTTCTTTTGAAGTCTGTTGAAGTTCAGCTCATTTAAAACTTTGCATATCGTTCATGCAAGCGTAAAATAAATATGGTAGTTTTATTGCAATAATAATTCTATTATTACAATTATTACGATTATTTTGAGTCCAAAAATGTTGCACATTTAGATTTTGGATAAATTTTTAATACGAATTATATTTGAGCACTTTATGAAGTTAATAAATATATTAGATTAAGTAAAATAAAATATCCACTGCTTCTTATTGTTTTTAGAGTTTATTAATTAAATTTTAAATACAAATTTGACTTTTACTTTGCTTTTATTCTAAAATGATGACAAAATTTGTCAGATATTACTATATGACAGCTAAAAAGTACTTCACGTAAAAAGTAATAGTAATCATAAATATAAATATTAGTACTTTGAAAAGAGAAATAGATTGTTATGTCTTTTTTTTGTGTTACAGACGAAAAGCTGTAAAATTTTGCTTATGCATTGAAGCTAAGCACAGGAAAGTTGAAATTAGACTTTTACGTGTAAATCTATGTAATTGTGTAAAAGTGCGTTCTTAATTGTTTCGATAAAAAGTTGAAAGCATTCTTAACGAGATTTTCATTCAGTAAAGTTTGACGTGGATCGCTTAATTTGTGATTAAGCAAAAATTAATTAACACTTTAGGTTAAAAAAATGAATTTCTGAGGAGGTATAAAATGTATGAGAACACATATAATTCTGTTTAAATTCAAAAGTTGATATTTATTAACGTCAAGAAATCATTCATTGAAAAAAAAATTATGAGTGATTTTTTGACGTAAATAAATAT